TGTTCACTGTAATCTGCACTTCCCATACAATAGCCACTAGCCACATATGGCTGCCCAGCATTTGTAATATAGCCAATTCAGCTCAATTTACACTTGCCAAATTGTGGAAACAACCTATATGCCCACCAGTCCAGGAATGGATTAATTAGCTGTGGTATATATATACCATGGAATACTAGTCAGCCACTAAAAAAGATGGTGACCTTACATCTTTTGTATTAATTTGGATGGAGTTGAAATACATTCATCTTAGTAAAGCATCACAAGAATGGAGAAGCAAGAATCCAATGGACTCAATTCTGATATGAGGACAACTGATGCTTGTACATGGTGGGAGGTGGGAAATGGGGGGTGTAGAGAGAGGGAATAATGGAGTCAGGTGTGAGGCCATGGTGTGTGACAAAGCTTTCAGGGATGGGACACTATTATTAGAGAGACTTTACCCAGCAAATGCAAGCAGTATAACAGGGCTCTTTGTATGTAGCCAATTCAACCAAGGAAATGAATATTCAATTTTTGCTATTTTAAATTTAAATAGCCACATGCATGTGACTAGTGGCTACCCCACTGGGCAGCAAAGCTCTAGAGGATGTGATATACAAGCCCCTTAACCTGGTCCTTGACTGCACTCTAGCTCCTAATCTGCTTGTCTCCTGGTCACAGAAATCCACACTCACACCTTCATGCCTCCAGGCGTCTGCGGAAGCCGACCCCTTTGCCCAAAATGCCTCTCCTCCCCATCCACCTCCAAACCTCATCAAAATCTTGTTCAGATTTCATTTCCTCAGGACAAGTTTTGCACTGCCCACACAATCTCCTATTGCTTCTTCTATGTTTCTCAGAATCTCTGGTGCTGCTCTCGTCATGCTGTAGTTATAATTTGCTACCAGACTGAGAATTTTGAGAACTGGGTCTTATTCATCCCTACATCCTAGTGATGTGTGCCCATCATATAATACATGTACAGTAAGTTGTTACTGATCACACTATTAATTTTTAAATATGTGCAATATTGTATTTACATTATTTTCAGAATATTAATATAGTAATTAATATAGTAATTCTATGATTGTGGAAACATCATATAATACATGTACAGTAAGTTGTTACTGATCACATTATTAATTTTTAAATATGTGCAATATTGTATAACATTATTTTCAGAATATTAATATAGTAATTAATATAGTAATTCTATGATTGTGGAAACATTTAGGTCAAAGTCTATTTTAATGCAAATTTTTGAATAATTGAAAATGCTTGGAGTATCAGCTGAAGGTATTCTTTTTTTTCTTTTTTCTTTTTAATTAAATCATAGCTGTGTACATTAAGGCAATCATGGGGTACAATGTGCTGGTTTTATATACAAGTTGAAATGTTTTCATCAAACTGGTTAACATAGCCTTCATGGCACAGTATTCTTATTTCAAACCATATCAATAGAACATTCCAGTATTGTAAAAACCAGAGAATATTCAATGTTCCCTTGAAGTTTCCTGGAAAAAAAATCCTTCCTATAGCTCCTCCTCCTAAGGGTCTGGAAGTCTGCTGGATTTCAGAAACTGGTCGTGTCATTGATCTGTCCCCAGGCCTGTAGCAACTTACTAGGGAGACATGGAAGAAGTGTAAAAGCCAGAAGACAAGAGGACCTGACTTAAGAGTCCTTATGGTCATAGTCAATGGGAATTCAGGGTACTCTCCCTTTGCTGCACCCCCTATCCAATCCTACCTCCCGGAAGGAAATAATTAAAATCTCATGAAACATGAAAAATAATGCCCCTGGGTGATTATGTGTGTTACCCAAAAAGCATTGCATGTTTCCTTTATTCCTTGGCAAAGCTTTTGTTTTCGTGTATTCCTTTGGTATATTATGTAGCATCTGTTGCCATATTAACTTGGCCTGAAAGTCACACTGGTTCATCTTTCCATCATGATTTTGTAACTGCTTTTATATTTGGATTCCCATGCAAGTATTTCTACAATTAGGATAAGCTCTTGATGGATACATTTCTGTGAACCCAATTTATATGAGACATCTCCCAAATACCAAACACCTAGCAGGTGTACCTAACAAATGATTGTCTTTCCTGCCCTCCTGTAATTTACAGTTCAATAATGCAAATAAATAAACACATAGTGACCAGAAATACGCTGGTGAGTACAGCACAGCAGCAGGGCGTTGAGGAAAATGGGTTTCAGAAAGAATATGGATCCAAAGGACTTTGTCTTCAAATAAGATAGAGATTTGACATTTGTTTTCTTATTAATTATAAAGTTTGATTTTTTAAAAATGCACAAATAGCACTTTCTAGTGTAATGAACATTGACTTCACAAATAACTGAATTCTTTAGGTCATTCAGATAAATCTCTGATTTTCCCATAATATTGATAGATTTTAAACAATCTTTTCTCTGCTTTTCCTTCCCTTTCCAGAATTTTAATCTAAGATGTTTCAGAAAAGACAAAAGTCAAAGATATCTCTTAAGGCTCCTCAGTAATAATGCAAGGGACATAGGTTTCCCTATGATGTCTTAAATTTAAATATAGGGATATCATTTTAACTTCCTTATGGAATCAGCCCATCTAGAACACACGGTGGTTAAGTCTACCAATTACGTTCTTTACTTATTTCCAAAATGTGTCTACTGCTGCTGAGAAAAAGAAGATCTGGTTTTCAAAGATCAGGTTTAGGGTTAAAAATGAGGATAGTGACCTTAAGTCTCTCAAGATTTGTAAGGTTGGCATGCCATCTATCTCAATAATACCTAACGAGAATGTCAAATGGACAGAAACAGCCGTGGTAAGCAGGTGCCTACAGCTGACAGTGATTGCTGTATTTGGGGGTGATGGGGAATACCATTTCCATTAGTTCAAGTGAAATACAATGCCCTGCCAACTCCAGGTATCAGTGTACTCAATACCCCTGCTGTGCCATGTCCATTTTCTGTTGCTGCAATTAAAAATCAGTCAATACAAAGTCAAAATGTTGTACATTCTTCCCCTATCCCTTTCCCTGTCACTGTGTTTCCAGCTTCCCCGGAAGAACATGTCGCTATGGTAACCAATCCCTCTGGTGCACAGGCCAAGTCAACCTTTCTAGTCAGACTGCCAAGCAGAGCAACAGGGAATCAAAGCCCTGAATGGAGCCTCCAGAAGCCGTGCATTCCATCCCCCTTTCTCTAAGTGGGGTTAACCCCTACCAGACAGCACGATACCTGACTTGTTCTAGAAGGCATTCAAGGAAGGAAATTCAAGAACATCCTTTAGCAAATCCTGCCAGTGTTTGCCAGTCTTACTAACTTGAATTCTCCCTCACATTTCAGCTAACTTCCTCCCGTTTCCATCTTAAAAGAAAGCAGAAACGATAGATAAAAGGACACTTTATAAATCTGAGAATCTGAAGACTGTCATAAAGTGACCCATTGTCAAAAACTATTCTACTTCCTCTTGTTTTCCTAATTCTAAATCCAAACCCAAGTTGCTCTCTAGTGAAAACCCCTAATATCCTATCCATCTGTACAAAGTTGTAGTGCTCCAAATGGGTCACTCTGCTCTAATAAGAACCTAATCACGAAACAAAGAGGATATGTGTAGTACTCACGTACTCATAACTAAACCCCTAAAATCCCTAGTCATTCTAAAGAAGCTACAAAACACACACTAAGATGGATTCTCTTTCTGAAGCTACCTTGCCTAAACCTGATCCGGCCACTCAGACCATACTCACTGCTTATTGTTCTTAAACAGTTGACTTTTTTTTAAATCAACAATTTTTTTTGTGATCAATTTCAACACAAATGTTTATAAATCAAAGAACAACATCAGTTCTCACAAACATTATTTTAAAACATCAGCAAACCTCACAGCATCTTAATAAGACACATTAAGAATGCTTTATGCCTTGGCCTCAAAGCACTTTGCAGATAACAGCATCACTGTCACCTTGGCATCACCATTTAATAGTTGAAGAGAATGAAAAGGGGGGGGACAAGATCCACAAAACCTGCACGTTCTCCCAGCATGCAGCTACTACAGAAGAGAATAAATTTCTTTCTTCAGAGCAATATTAATACACATTCACACAATATTCTAGTGGGTTTCAAATTTCAAGGGTGAAACAGGATGGCCCCCAAAGTATAAATCATACAAGATTTACAATTGCATCAGATAAGCAGAATTAATTCATGTGACCATATTAAAGTATCAAATTTTATCATTAGTAAATGCAGGTTGTTTTCTGTTTTGGTACACTGTTTGGGTATTTTTTATGTAAATCTTCTAAACAATCTTATTTTTTTCTCTGAAATGCCCACTTCAGTGTTACCCAAAGAACTACATTTTTTGTGTTTATCAGATCCTGCTAATACTCAGTGCACATTGCTGCTACTGCCAACCATTTTTTAAAAGGAGAAATAAAGAATTGTGTTAGGATGTTACTGGTCAGTAGGCTTTCAGCAGCTATAGAGCAGGGCCTATGATTTACTGATGTTTATATGACCAATGCCTGCACCATGCCTGGGATAGCATATCATTCAGCAAACGTTTCTGGTGTGAATAAGGCCTTCTCTGTGAGATGTTCCTCCCAATTTCCCTTGATTGAATGAGTTCAACAAAGATTCAAATTGGGAGCCTATCTACCTGCCCCACACACACATACATCACTCAAAGGGCTTCCTTTGGGAGCAAGAACAACGTCGTAGATTTCCTTTCTTCTTAGAGGCTAATGAAGACTTATCTTGTATAAAAACCCGAGACCATGCTACTCAACTCAAATCCCGACAGACAAGCGCAAGGCAAAAGGCAGGCAAAAGAGTTAGTCTCTACCACGCTTCATTATCAGCCATTGGGAGCCAAGTTCTGGCCACTTCGAGGCCTGGATAACTGCACCTCGCAGAACTGGGAGATCTGACAGCTGTGGCCAGGGGAAGACAGGCGAGGGGCTGCGGGGCCTGGAGGCGCCGGGCTCTCCGCAGCGCCACGCCTCGCGCCTAAAGCTTACCTTTCCGAATGAGGGCGGCGATCTCCGGGTCGAAGCCCTGCCGGTGACACTTCCTCCAGAGGCCCATGTTAGTGGAGTTGTACTGCCGGCTGCACTCGTCGGCAGGGCTCATAGCGAAGAGCTGCCGGCGATTCCGGGCCCGGAGGAGTTTGCCCTCCCAGCGGTCCAGGCGCGAGCGGCTCGCCCGGAGCGGCAAGTTGTTGTTATTGTTGTAAATGAAGCCAGGGTCGACCCGGCGTGTGTTAAAGGCCTTGCACCTGTCCCTGTGCTTCCTGGCGTCCGTCTCGTACCAGTGGTCCGAGCAGATGGCCACGGCCAGCATGCCGAGGGCGCAGAGCGCTAGCGAGAGGCCCGTGTAGAGCAGTAACCTTCCGGCAGCCATGCCTCCGCTTGGCGGCTACACTATGGGCATGATCCGCCGCAGCCTCGCCTTCCCTCGGCGCGCCCGGAACAAAGCGGCAGGCGGCCGAGCTGGGGGTGGGGAGAGGGGACACGAGAGGGACTCGCGCAGCGGCGCCCTCTCTGCCCCCACGTACCAGTGCGCGGCCTGGGGACTGCGGCGATAGGGGCGGGTAGCCTAAAAAGTTCTGATCCGAAGTGGCTCCCGCTGGCTCCTGGGCATCCTCCGGGGCAGGTGCAGCCTCTGGCGGCAGCGAGCCCAACACGGCTGCCTCCCGCCTCCTCCCCACCCTGCAGGAAGCAACTGCTCACAACCTGCCGCCCCGGCTTACAGCCCGTCGCCTCTGCCCTGGGGCCGAAAACTAAATGCCAAGCGTCCTCGACTGCGGCGGGGCTTGCGGGGACTCCTTTGTGCAGGCTGGTGATGATACCGAGTCGCCTGGCTTTCTGGGGGAGACTGGAGGTGGGTAGTCAGAAGAAGCCGCTGGACAGCAGGATGCGCCCACCAGCGAAAGAAGCCTCCAGGTGCCAGGGCTGGCTGTCCCGAGTCTCGCCTGGGTCTCCTGCGCAGGGACTCTCCGCCTTCTAGTCTGCAAGCGAAGACCTGGGGCGCGTGCCCAGAAATATTCTTTACTGGCCAGGTCTTTTTAAAATCTCCTTCCTCTGGTCACCAGCAGGTCCCTTGCTCCCTGTGGCCCGCGTGCTGCACTCAGAGGCAGACTCCCAGCGGACGCCTGGTCTCTGCCCACATTTCCCTACGAGCTCCCTGGTCGTCTGCCTCTGGCCTCGCCATTCAGGAGGCCCTTCGGGCCGACGGCGCGGTTAGCCTGGCGGCGTTACCGGATGAGTCCTAGCCCCAGGTTTTCGGAGACTGGGCGGCACCTGGCGGGCGCGATGGGCGGGCTAAGCCGAGGAGGGGCGCGTTGGGCAGCGCGCAGTGCGCGGGGCGCTCGGAGCTCAGCGCGCGGCACCTTCAATACCATGGACAGGTCGCGCCGTCGAGGCGCGTGGCCGGCCCTGCAGCGAGCCCCCGGGGCGTCATGCAGCTCTCCCCAGCACCGACTTCTGCTTGGAGTGTCCACCTGGCCGCCTCCAGACCTGCCTCTCCCGCGACGCCTCCGCCTCACTTCATCTGGCTCCCATATCCCTGAGAGCGTGCTGTCCAGGTGCAAAGAAAATGCCGCAGGTCCCGGCCCCTCGAAACAGTCCGCTCCCTCTCCTGCCACCTGAGCCCCTGGCACTCTGGCACTCGGTCTGCTCTGCCTAGCTGGGTTCAGCCACTCGCAGACTGCACCATTTTCTTCACAGCCCACCCGGGCACCGAGATGCCGGCTCACGGCAGCTTGCAGAGAATCCCGTCCTGGCCTCGGCGTCTCACGATCCGGTTCTCAGCGCGCGGAGGTAGCCGAGGTGAATGGGGAGAGGGTGGGGGAGGGAGGCTGGGTCGCTCCGCTTTCCCTCCCTGCCTGCCCCTCTAGTCGCTGCGGCTCCGAGGCCTCGCAGGCTCGGCGGGTGCCTGGTAGGAGCGAGAGCCCAGGCTGTGCCTGGGGGGCTCCGGAAATCGCATCGCCCGGGTGCAGGCGCCGGAGGAAGCCGCTGCCGAGCTCTCCGCTCGGGCGCCGGGCGCTGCAGCCTTGGCTAAAGCTCACAGACGAGAACACGGAGCGCGCAGCCAAAAGCTAGTGATGTCATCTGTGCAACGTGAGCCTCATCTCTTATTTTTCTGGCCTCCTTAAAGATAAACTGCACCATTTCCCAGGCATGAAATGTCTAAGCTTTATTCTTTGACCAGGCAAGTCAATGGTGTCTAGATAGGTATGTGCCCTACCACATCCATATTTATGCACATATACATACATGTGGTATGTAGCATCTTTACATGTATTATTATAAATTTAGGGATATTGCCCACATCCCTGTTTCTCTCTTTCAGCGGTGGAAATGTCTCTCGAATCCACCCCAGTTCTTTAAAAGAAAGACTGTTTATTGCGGAGTCCCCCTTCTGAGGGGCTGAACGAGCTCCCTGTGTCCCGGGTTTCGTTCGATGGTGTCGGATTGCATTAGATCTTTGTTTTCCCCCGGAAAGCCACAGGCGCTACCTTGCTAGCTACTGGAGTCTCCACCCGGGGCTGAGCTGAGAGCAGCCGCTAGATTGTCACAGCCAGCCCTGGGTCCAGTCCCAAGCTAGAGCCGGACACCCACCTCCCACTGCCCTCCCTGCTCAGCAGGAAAAGAAAGAAGAGATTTGTTTTATCTATTCAAGACAAGAAGAAGAGTATTTTAATGGGGGGGGGGGGAGTCAGCAGATATTTTGAAAACACTTGAGGACTCGTGTTTTTTAAGGGAGGTGAGGTTACAGCAAATCTCTGGGCAGGATTTGTCGTTTTGTGTGAGTGGCAGCTGGCCTTAGGCCTTTGGGGGCCCTAGGACCCCAGACCTTGAAGGGGTGGGCCCCAGGCAAGCCCCGCTTTATCCCAGCACCGCCGCCGCCGCCACCACCATCCCCGCCCCTACTTCGCTCACGTGAGACAGCGCCGCAAAGGCTGAGAGCTCCCTCCCAGCTTCAAACACTAGGCTTTTCACTCTAATGCTTACTCCCCATTTTCACCCACACTCCAAAAATGAGTTCCCACATTGCTGGGTCAAGAGCTGCCCTGGGAAAAAAAACAGAGTCCCGGTACCCTGCTTTGCACAACAAGGCTGGTGGGCCAAAACAGAGCACACCTCCACCATATTCTTTTTGTCGTGCTTTTTTTTTTTTTTTTCCTTCCTTCCTGCATTTTAAAAATCCTGATCGAGGCGTTTCAGTGCCATCTAGTGGGGGAGGGGCGTGCCTCGCTTTTGCACCCCGGATTCTACAATGGGATTTGCAGAAGAGACAGCACAGCCTGAGGTGCCCACTAGATCTGGGGTGCCCGGCCGGTAGAGGGGCTGCAGGCATGTGCCCTTGGCCAGATCCCACCCCTCTGGGTTCCCAGGATGTCCAGGCAGAGCCCAGCGATTTGGCCACAGTGTCTTCTCACCTTCCTTTCTACTCGTCTCTTTATCAATTGGCCCCGGCCCCAGCCTTGAAAATAGGAAAACAAGTGCAAACACTTTACACACAGTTCAACGTCTTAGATTTCTGAAGCCATTTTCTTCAGTAAAGCCTACTGCACTTTTAATCTAACAGGGTGCCTGCATTTGTCAATAGAGAGAAGGCAGCCTGATGAAATGACATCTGCAAGGTCACTCAGGAAGTCCAGGCACACAGCTAGCATCAAAGCTTGTCTCCTGATGAAACTGCCCTTTATATAATTAATAAAGGGCCACAAGGTTCGAAATGTGGTCGGGGAAATATATCCTACATACAACCAGCCATTGCTCCCTAGCTGGCTTTCCTATAATTGCTTACTACTCAGTGGAATAGCTGGTGGTCATAAAGATTCTTAGCTTTCTTCGTTGCTCCCTTAGATAACATCACCTTTGTGAAAAACTAAGTCTAGTTTTCAAGATATCTTCCAGGCCCTACATTCTGGTGGAGTGGCTGACCCTCCCAGACCTGTGGCCTGTACTGAGGGACAGACTTAACTCATATTGCCACCCCCACCCAAGAACTGACTCAGCAAAGAAGGCACTTTCTATACCCCTACGGTTCCGCCCAACCCCAGTCAATTGGCAGACCCAACTGCCCAGCCCTTTGCCCACCAGACTATCTTTAAAACCCTTTCTCCCAAATTTTTGGAGAGATAAATTTGAGAACTTCCATCTCCTTGCATGGCACCTGCAATATTAAACTCTTCCCCTGCTAAATCCCCTGCTGTCTCAATGTATTGGCTTACTTTTTAGCAGGAGGCAATGAACCTGGACAGGCTGTAACACTGGTTCCTCACTCATCTCTTCTTAGAACTAGCTGTAGGAGGTGCCCCTGAGACCTTTGGCAGTCCAGGCAGTTGCCCAGTTCTCAATAAATGTACTCATTTATTTTGTCCTCATCTCTCCTCCCTCTCCCATTGCTCCACCTCTTTTGTGCTCTTGCTATTTAACTTTTTCTCCTGGCCTATACCCTGGGCCTGCCTCCCAAGATGTGCTTTACTTGCTCCCTTCATGGTCCCCTGATTCTGGCCCACTTGGAGAAGGAATTTGAATGCTACATTGCCCTCCTCTTTTCTGAATATCATTAAAATTCTATTTTGAATTTTTGTCTTTAATAAAATATCAGAAATCCTTCAAAGACACTGATTTGAGGCCTCCTTTGAAGTGCAATTATCTTGAGCGTCCCTGCACCGTTGTCGGATGATCCTGGCCCTCAGGACTAAAATGGGAGATTCTTCCTCAAATGATTGCACGACTACCTTTTTTATCAACTGAGTGATCTAGGTTTCTTACCTCTTTTTCCAATTCTTTCCACTCTGTTAGCTACACCATCACAATATCTGTGTTTCCAACCCATTCTTTCCCATTTGCACCAACACTGTTCTAGAATTACAGAATCCCAAAATCAGAAGGAAATTTAAGGCCCAGCCACACAACAATGTATGATCTCTCCTAGAACATTCCCCCAAAAGTGAATGACCAGCTTCTGCTTGCACATTTGAAGTGATCACAAAATCACTTTGTCTGTAAGCCGCCCACTCCACTCCTGATTAGTGTAGTAGTTAGACAGTTTTCTCTTATGCTGAGCGTTATCCTAGGTCTCCATAACGCCTACTCATTGGCCTTTGTTTTCGCCTTCTAGAAACCCACAGACAATGCCTTCCACTCAAGGATCTTTCTCATACTTGACCTCAGTCATCACGTTTTTCCTAAGTCTCCTTTTCTCCAGGCTAACTATGCCTCGTTCATTCTTTCCTTGCACGTGCTCTTCTCTGGTTTCAGATACCTCCTGATCATTAGTTCTCTTTTTAGGTAATACTACGTACTTCCTTCCTCTAACAGGCATGCAAACCTATGAAGAAGAAAATTTGGTCTGTCCATCATGTTTTTACATGTTCTGTGTAGAGT